CTCTGGCATCTCAGGTCCAGCCGGTAGGGAAAAGGCTCCGTGCTGGAGAGGAGCGGGGGAGCAGGGCTGCTCCGTGGGGCAGAGTCCCCCCAGTCCCCAGCACCCCGCTCCACGCCCCTCACCCACCAGCCATCTCTTTCAAGCGGAGTTTGTTAGCATAATCGAGTTACCCGCTACATATCTGAAACCCTTGACCCGTCCCCTTGAGCAACGGTGCAGCAAAAGCTTTGTATTATTCCTTTCTCCCCAAATCAGAGAACAACAAGCAATTGCTGTTTGTCTTAGTTTACTTATGTGCAGTGATCGTCTATAGTGCTTTCTTTTTTTCAGTCGATACAGGAACTTGGTGCCATCTCTGATGGGATAGATTGGGCTTTTAAACAAAACTCAAAAATAAATAAAAGCGTGAATAAATAACGTGAAGGCATGGGGAACAATCCGTGGATCCGGGTTGCAAAACTGCCTCCGGGAATCCCGGGTGAGCTTTGGCTCTCTAAAGAAACCCTAGTACCACCACGGAAAAACTTGTGAACCCGGGGAAACTGAGCTGAGCCCCAGGGGTGGAGGGTGTGGGGCAGGTAGGCCCAGTATCGCAGCAAAGGTCGTTATGATGCCTTAAGAAATAAATAAAAAGTATATATATATATTTATATATAAATATTATATATATATATAAATAAAAGAAAAACTTAGCCAGAGTAGCAGCTTGATTGTGGCAGGCTTTCAGTCTCAGTAAACCCCTCTGGCTTTAAGGGGAAAGCATATTGCAGTCCCGCAGAAAGAAAGACAGACAGAAATACAAGAAAGACAAAAGAAAAGAAAAGAAAAGAAAAGAAAAGAAAAGAAAAGAAAAGAAAAGAAAAGAAAAGAAAAGAAAAGAAAAGAAAAGAAAAGAAAGAGAAAAAAGATAGCTTGGAGCTGTCTATCATCTGTCATTTTGGTTGCTCTCCCTACAATCCTCGCCACGGTACTAGACATCTGTGGGGAAGCCGTGTTTCTTTCTGGCATGTGAAAGTTGTGGGGTTCATCATTTGCTTGCTACCCCTGCCGATAAAAGCACCTTTGGAGGTGGCCCTGTCTCCCTGGTGAGCCCACGGCTGGCTGGCAGGAGCGGACGTGTCCACAGACCTGTGTGAGAGTGGGTGACAGGTTTGTCCCGAGCCCAACTCGGTGAAAAGGATGAGGGGTTCAGCAAAAGCAGTGGTCGAGGAGGCTGGCGGAAAGGTGTCAGGCGTCTTGAGTGAATCGGCTCTGGTGTTTAACAGGAACGACGCGGGCCTGCAGCCTCCCATACAGGCTGTTGTCTACAAAGGGACGGTGAAGGCAGAGCCGAAAAGGCAATTTCCAGATAACTGCGGCTCTACTTTGGCACTCACTCGTGGGCACGGAGCAGTTCTGTGCAAGGAAAGGCTCCTTGGCAGAAACCGCCGGCCCACACCCCGTTCCTCAGCCAGTCTCTGTCACAGCTAATGAAATGAGCGTCGCAATAAAAAACACCTTTTTATTTCATTCATGTTTCCCAAAGATTGACAGTCTCGCACGCTGCTACACAGAGGGGCGAGGCGCTTACCGAGGGGGTCCTCGGCAAAATGACAGCCGGGACCGGACCGGAGTGAAACCCCGGCCCTCTCCGCCCGGCGGCAGCGGAGCCGTGCAAAAATTTGGGTCAGCTCATCTAAAACTTTTCACGACAGCTAAACGAGAGAGAGCTGGCAGCAGGCAGGAGAAACGATCTCGTCGGCCCAGGGGCAAACGTGAGCAGGCGATTCGCTCCTCCTGCTCTGAAATATAATGGCAGGGAACGATAGCGTTCGCAAATGCCAAAAAAAGCTCCTCTCCCGATCGCCTGTTTCACTTCCAAGGTACTACAATGCGATTCGCCCTGTGCCGCGGCTGTGTAGCCAGTATCTGCTCTGACTTCCAGCACGTAGGAAAATTTTTCTCTTTCCCTAAAGATAAAAGCAGTTATGCAGAATTTGGATCCAGATGTCACTAATTTACGATTGCTCTAGGACGCAAGCTGATACAGGGTGCCCGGGAAGGAGGTAGCTCTGCCCCTGCCCAGCTCCCTGGGAAGTGAACTTACGTTCCATGCGAGCTACGAAGGCAGCCTAAAGTGAAAGCGTCTACGGAGGAGCTGGAGTGTAAACTGTACTCACATTTTAGGGTGCTAAGAAGACTCTTTCTCAGGTCTAAATCTATGCAACAGGTTTTGACATCTTTTCAGCTAGGGCTAACAGCTGCTCCCGTTCAGATTCAACCACTATGGTTGTGAGATAGAAAGAGGGAAAGAAGAGTCAGGTATATCCCTAATAAACGTGAGGCGACCGAGCATGGTAGCAGGGAGGCGGGAGACACAGCTCAGACCTCGCTAGCGCTTTTCATTATTTCCACGGTCCCAATTGCGGGAGGGAGCGGAAGGCACACGGTGTGTGCGCGCAGAGGACAGGAGAGGAGATTTGTGGTTTTGTTGCCTTTTCTGCTAGGGCAGCCTTTGAAGTGGCGCGGTTGTCCCGTCACTGCTCGCTACAGCTGCGGCTGTGAACTATCCAGCCGCTTAGGCTGGCTAGGAAGAGCTTGGGATCGGGATGCTTTCGTTTACAAACAGGCACAGATCCTGCAGAGATCGGCTGGAATCGAGGCACTAAGCAGTCGAGAGCTCATTTTGTAAAGGAACGGAGGGAGCATCGTGCGGAGGGACCCGTCACCAGTATGTCCAATTTTGTTTTAAACGAATTTGAGCTGCTCTTTCTCGACCCGAAAAGGAATCCTCTCTTTTCCGTTCCCGGAGGATCCAGGGCGGGAATCGTCCGCTTGCCACTGTTTCCTTATGGCAGCACTCGTGAAAAGGCCGGACGGACAGGTAGGAGGACAACTCAGCTTCCCCAGCGGAGTGCACTCGAGAAAGTACGGGCGTACGCCGCGGATATGCAAAGGCGTTCGGACATGCTGGGAGATGGACAAGGTTGATCCGCTGCCCCCTACCCCGCCCTCTTCCTCCTCCTCTTCCTCCTGCCTCCCTCCCCCGCGCATTTCCCCCGGCCGCAGCCCTGGCGCGGCTCCTCGCCGGGAGCCGCCGTGCTGCGCGCCGCCGCCCCAGCCTCGCCTTCCCCCGGGGACGGCCGCTGCGCCCGCCCGGGCCGGCACGGAGGCTCGGGCCGTCGGCTGCGGAGGTTCAGGCTGCGAGGCGGGGAGCCGCAGTCCGGTCTCTTGTGGCTTGGCTAAATCCCTGACGCGCCGGGGAGGCTAAAAAGGTACCGTGGCAGGAACCCACAATTGCAGAGATCTCTCCTGTCAGGACTGCAAATACCGTAGAAAGAGCTTGTGAGATTAATTATTATTTCTCAGCAAAAGGGGAACATAACAGGCCATGGAAACTAGCCTGAGTTTGTGGCCGGGAGGCTCCTCCCGACTGCCCTCACCTGGGCGATCTCCGGCGCCAGCCTCCGCCCCGGCGGTCCAACTTGGCCGCCACCCCGTGCGCCGCTCCCGAGGAGGCACCGCGGCTCCCTTCACCCGTTCATCGCACCCTCTCCCTCGACCTTGCAGTTTGCACAACCTTTCTCCCTCGCCTTTCACTTTGTGTAGGCCGACAGGGGACTGGAAATTATGCGGGTCCCTGCCCGCAGAGTCAGTAAACTTAAAACGCGTTGTGCAAAGGGCACGCATGGGTGATAAGGGTCCGTTTAATCAAGCGAAATGTTTCTGACTTTTACACGTGTTCCTCTCCTGGATGAAACACCCCGACACGCTCTGGAAATTGAGTGGAAATAAATGTCCGGCATTCAGTGATCATAAATGCCAGCACTCTTCACTCCGGAGCATGGTGGGGTACGGCCGGAGATTCATGGAGAGGCAATCCCTCTCCGGCCCCGTATCATCGTGCCTTCTTCTCGCTCCCGGGCAGGTACGAGAAGCGTGTAATGGGATCCCAGGTCGCGAACAGGGTCTCCATTGTACATGAGAGGCCCCTTCCTTATAAAACTCTCCAGCAGTCATTACTGGACGTCAGGGAGAGAGCTATAAGGGAGCGCTTTTAGAAAGAAATTTTTCTGCAAGGGCCGGAGACGGGCTTTTCTCCCCACCGCAGCCGCGGGTGCCAAGGACGGCAGAGCCCGCTATCCAGAGTGGAGGGGCCGGGATGGGGCTGCGGGATCCAGACGGGACGGCGGGGCCCGACCGGGACGGCGGCTCCGTCCCGCCGCGTAGCAGTGCCCTGCGGCGAGGAGCAGGGGCCCGGGCTGCGCGCTCCCCCTCTCCCCCGACGGGCGCCTGCAGCGTCAATCACGACGGAAATTTCTCCCTCGCTAGCTAGTATCTCAGCTCGCAGGGCCGCCTCTGAGTGGATCTGAGCAATCTGTCAACTCAGCCGGGGAGCCACCTCAAAACAGATCGGGTTACCCATGATTGACAGCGTCACCATGGCAAATAATTTGACTAAAACTATTGTCTTCTCCTGGCAGTCCCCGGGTCAGATAACCGGACCAATCACAGCGCGGATAATCACTTTTCATGCCAGCTTAGAATAATATTATTAAAAAAAAAAAAAAAAAAAAAAAAAAAAAGAGAGAGAGAGAGAAAGAAAGAGGGGAAAACTCCGAGACGGAGAGGAGCGAGTGAGCAGGGCTTTACCACTATATTATGTGGGATCTGGCGGTGGGGGGTGGGGGGAAAGCAGGGAGATCCCAAACCGGCGGCCGAGGGGGGTGGGGGTGTGAGAGCCGCGGCCGCTGCGAGCGCTGCAGATAGGAGACAAAAGAGGCACGAAGTTACTCTCGCAACTTGGACTTACAAAAACGAGGCGGAGGCCGGGGGGGAAAGCCGCCCGCGCTCGGGCTCTCGAGACTTTTTTCGTCGCTCTTCGCATTTTTCACCCGGCTCCCGCGACCGCCCCGGGGCCGGGCGCCGCCGATGGCCGCGGCCCCCCGCGCCCGGCCGTGACGCCCAAGCGGGCCCCGCCGGGCGCCGCCGCCCCGGGGCCGGCCCCGCATGCCGGGCGCTGCCCGCCGGCCCTCGCCGCTCCCCTCTATGCGGCCGTAGGGAACGCGGCGCGGCACGGCTCACCATGTCGATGCTCCCGACTTTTGGCTTCACCCAAGAGCAAGTGGCCTGCGTCTGCGAGGTGCTCCAGCAAGGCGGCAACATAGAGCGGCTGGGGCGGTTCCTCTGGTCCCTCCCTGCCTGCGAGCACCTCCACAAGAACGAGAGCGTCCTGAAGGCCAAGGCGGTGGTGGCCTTCCACCGGGGCAACTTCCGCGAGCTCTACAAGATCCTGGAGAGCCACCAGTTCTCGGCGCACAACCACCCCAAGCTGCAGCAGCTCTGGCTGAAGGCGCACTACATCGAGGCGGAGAAGCTGCGGGGGCGACCCCTAGGGGCGGTGGGCAAGTACCGGGTGCGCCGCAAGTTCCCGCTGCCCCGCTCCATCTGGGACGGCGAGGAGACCAGCTACTGCTTCAAGGAGAAGAGCCGCAGCGTCCTCCGAGAGTGGTACGCCCACAACCCCTACCCGTCCCCCCGCGAGAAGAGGGAGCTGGCCGAGGCCACCGGTCTCACCACCACCCAGGTCAGCAACTGGTTCAAGAACCGCCGGCAGCGGGACCGCGCCGCCGAAGCCAAGGAAAGGTACGGCTCCCCACTGCTCCCCAGGCGCCCGCGGCTCCCCGACCCCGGTGCTCACCCCGGGCCTCTCTGTCTGCCCGGCCCCGGCTGCGGAAGGCCCGCCGGGAGGGGACGGGCTCTCCGCCTCGGGGGCGCCCGGAGAACCAGAGGCGAGCGAGCCGGGCGCTCGGTGAAGGCGTCTGTCCACCAAAAGTAACCCCAGGAGTGGCGGCCGAGATTCGTTCTCCGCCGACACCCCACTGTCCACACAGCTGGCGCGGCGGCCCCGGGGCAGCCCCTGCTGCCAGGGACCCTTCACACGGCCTGCGGCGACTCCTGGTTAAGCAGCGTTGCCGCCTCCTCCCCGCCGCAGCCCGGCGTGGAGCCCAGCCAGGAGCCGTGGCCGGGGGTGTCCGTGTAGGTCCACGGCCGGTCGGGAGTGGCCGGCAGCGGCGGGACCCAAGGGCAAGGGCTCCGTGCCCCGCACAGCTCAGAGCGTGTTCCTGAGGGTTACCCCGGTGCAGAAAGGGGCAGCCGGGGGGCAGCCGGCTACTCGTGGGTTTAAATGTTGGTAGCAAATATGTCCTCTGCCCTCGGCTCCTGGCGTGCGGCAGGAAACCTGGAAAAGGACAGAGTAGAGCAACTTCTTGCCTCGCTCATGACATTGCACTTCTTATTCGCTACCCAGCAAGGTGCTTATGAACGCATGTCAAAACGTGTATGTTCTTAGGCCGAATATGATTCTGCATCTGTGTTTTTCACGTTAAGTGGAGTGAAGGGACCATTAATCGCCGGAAAGAGGTTAATGCCTACAATCCCGGCTATTTGGGATGACTTTTCCATCAGCAATCCCTGTGCCTTAGGAAGATGGTTCGTAGAAGCAAAAAGGATCCTCTTACCGCGTTCATTAGCTCACTGTATTGCCCGGTTTGTACAGGCAATCGTAGGATCGTGTGATATGCGCGGTTAATTAGCGGATCAGAATACTTTAAATCCGTGCCTCCGAGGAGAATTCTATCTTTGGTTTCTCCTAACCGTGTTTTGGAAATGGGCAGCGCCGCGGCCTCGCTGCTGTGCAGCCCGGCAGATTGGGGCACAGATTTGTTCTATTAATTTCCCGAAACCATGCTAGCACTTTAATTTTCTTTCAAATCTTCGCAAGCGTTGGTTTTACGAGATGTTAGAGATCCTTTTTATTGATGATAGCAGGGACTCGCCTTCAAATATCCAAAGGAAATTAAGGTTACACTTATTCCATTCCTTCTTTTTTTTTTTCCCGGGGAATCAAATTTTAAAGGTCTCCAGAGACAAATAATATTTTTGACATTGAAAAATACACTCAACCTAATATTACACTCCAGGCGTTGGAAAACAGACTGTTCATGGGATTGCCATTCACTCAAGGAAACCTGTTCAAACAGTGCTTTTCTTGTCTATTTTTATTTTTTTGGCACTAAGTGTCTCCAGCCACATCCTGCAGCCCTTAGTGAGGAAAACCCGTCAGTGCAATAGCTTAACATCTCTCGACCAAATCCTGCAGGATAGGGCCTCTCTGCCAGATAGCGTGTTACAAAACTTCCGCAGAAGCTTTTAAATAGGCTTGCACTGCCTTGAGTATTTCAGGGAGAACAGTGTCTAAAATATTTCTACGAGGGCTGTGGAGGCCGTGTAAGCCTTGCCTGGACGGCTTCCCCGACCCCTCCTTGCTATTCACATTTCCGAAATAAAACCCCCATATATAGATATATAAATATATAGGTATATTTGCAAGGGCTTGGCCCGCCTCCAGTGATTTCTCGGTATTTACCCGGTGATGAATTTCGAAACTACGTCCTGCCTTTCCGAGCCTTTGTCGGCAGGCGCACCGGTGGTGCCGGCTGCCCCCGCCGCGGAGCCGTGCAGGGCCATCCTGGCTGCGCCCCCGCCACCCCAGGAGGGAACGGAGGAGGAGCAGCAGCGGGCTTGAAGAGCATTTCCCGAGAGGGTCGGGGAAAACAGCGGGTTAACTCTGTTTGCTTTTCTTATCGTCCATATTGGTCTATGTTTTGAGCTTGAAGCCCAGGGCGAGGGAAAATAAAACACGTCCAGCTATCCCTCCTGATGTAAGCCCGGGAGGCTGTTCTGCTGCACGGAGCCGTCCTGCCTGCCTGCAGCTGGCCGGGCTTTGGCCTGTTCAGAAGAAATCATGGTTGAACATCTCTTCAATTTTAAAGTTTAAATTTTTTGGGTTTTTTTGTTGTTGTTCTTTTGGTGGGGTTTTTTTTGTTGTGGTTTTTTTTTTTTTAATAATATCTTCCTCCCTCCTTTCCTTCCCCCTTCTCACTCTGTGCAAACCTTTTGGATGCAGAAAATTACGGTTTGGCAAGGTGACGCTTTCCGCTGGGCTAGTGGGAGACTGTTTACAAGCTCAGCGGACCTTAGACCTAAGTGCCAGATGAAGAGGCCTTGGAGGTTGGCAGAGTTTTTAAACCTACTGCACTCCCCTCCGCTCGCTGCTCCCCGAGCCGGCTCCCCGCCGCCCCCGCTCACGCGGTGCGCACCCCGGAGCGACGGCCACATGGTGATTTCCTTCCCTCTTTTGTGTTTCCTATAGGGAAAACAACGAGAATTCCAACTCCAACAGCCACAATCCGCTCTCGGCGTCAATGAACGGGAATAAGACAGTTCTGGGGAGCTCAGAGGACGAGAAGACGCCGTCAGGGACCCCGGATCACACCTCCTCCAGCCCCGCGCTGCTGCTCAGTTCCAACCCCGGGCTGCAGCCCCTTCACAGCCTGGGCCACCCCCAGGGCCCCAGCGCCATCCCCGTGCCCAGCGCCGATTCCATGCACCACCACAGCTTGCAGGACTCCATTCTCAACCCCATGTCATCTAACTTGGTCGATCTGGGCTCTTAAAACCATGTACACGCTCCCTCCTTCGCGCCAGACCTCCTTTACTCAATTTTTTTTTTTTTTTCCCTTAATCTTATGAGGGACTTGGAAAGCAATGACAAACACCTTAATGGATGTATTGTGCCCTTTGGCAGCAGGCTGGCTGCAGGTTTGCAAGGCAGTGGACTCCGCTGCGGGTAGCTGATGTTGCGAAAAGCCTTAAGGGTTGCTTACAGGCGTTTTCAGGCGAGTAAGGACTGTTAGACAGGAGCCGTGATTTCCACGGCAGGCTGTAAGGCTGATCGGTGCAGCAGCTCATTTCAGCCTTAATTTCACAAATCCCTCAGTGGTGTCACTCGATCGGGCCGGTCTGTGTGGGAAGAGGCACACTGTAATATTTTTATTTTTTTCGGGGGGTGGGGAAGAAAGGGGAATGCAAGGCTGCTCTTGCCTGTTTGAAAGTTACACATCGCTCCCGTTATTCTATTGTAGTTATGTATCCGTGGCAGATGTACGATGTACAATTTCAACTAAAAATACAAAAGTTGTAGTCAAGATATAGCAGCAACATGCGCTCTAGGCAGACTCTGTAACCTTCTTGTAGCTGATGCTATGCAGAGAGACAGCTTCTTTGGCCTTGTCCATGTGGTGCTTTCGCCATTTGCTGGGTGGGAAAGGAAGTGATGGCCCGGCTCCGGCACGAAGGAAGGCAGAGGTAGATTTTCCCTCGGTGTGCAATGCGGGCTGGAGCGGGCTTTAAAAAGAAAACAGGAATTGCTGCTCAAGTTTAGACCTAAACGACAGTATCAACCGCAAGTCGCTCACCTTAGTTTTGTTTATTGTTTATATTATGTGAATACATTCTTTGGAAAATATTTCTGCTTTTATTTTATAATAAAATTTAGAAATCTAACTCGGAGTATGGCTGCTTCACTCGCCCGCGGGTGTTTTCGGGCTCAGTCCTGAGCGGAGCAGAGGGGCTGTCCTGGCGGGGAAGGCGGTGTCGGGCGGTCAGAGCCCCGCCACCCTGCCCCGTTTGGCCCGGCACGTCGGGGCCCTTGCCGGCCCGGTCCGGGGAAGCTCTGAGCGCCGGGGGCAGCTGGAGTCGTCCTGCGGGAGCGGAGAGCCAAGGGCACAGGGAAGGACGGGCGGTGCGGGCCCTGAGGGAAGCGGAGAGGTCGCCCACCTGCTCCCCGACGGCACGGCCGTACAGGCTGAGCGCTTTTCTGCCCCGTTGTCCTGCCACGGCAAAAAGCAGCCCGCTCT